CATCACACTGAGGAGCAGGGCATGGCTGGATACTCTGAGAACCATCATAGAATTTTGGAAAAGAATCTTGTCAGAAAAAGGAGATGGAAAGATAAAATGCAAAGTTCTAGGAAAGAGTGAGCTATAGAAGGGTGAGATGTAGGGACAGAGGTTCCCTTCCACTAGTTTATACACACAGGAAAATAAACACTCCACATACACTGTTCAGTATACCAAATACAATCCTGAATGTACCTGGTCTTTCAATACTTCTGACATAGCTCTAATTCAACACAAGGAGAACAATCATATTAAGAGTCATACCTCCTGCTAATATCTATGTCATAGGTCAAACTAGAACAGACTAATTCACTTTCCTGAAGGACTCTAAGGTTCCACTCTTGGGAAACAAGAGCTGCAACTCAGTTCCTTGTGCACAGTCCTCTCTGGAGTCAAAGAATGTGTACTACCCGACCACAGCAGGTATTTCCAAGCATACCCTGGAAGAAGCCAAAAGTGAAGCAGAGAGGACATCTGCAGAGCGTCTAATGTAAGAAAGAAAACACAAGTATCTTTAGAGGCACCCAAGGTTCTTAGGAGATCCAGGAACAGAGTCTGGCAGAGCAAGACTGACTAACAAAGGGCAGGAGACACTAGCACAAGGTGAGACGAAGGCAGACTCCTAAGGATCAGAGATATTCATTTGCAAAACAGAAAGTGAATACTCCAGAAAGAGGTGGCAGCAAATAGCCTAAATGTGGATATGATATGAGGCACTGAGGTGGAGGAGAAATAGGTTGTGAAGGCTGAGATGGCACTGGGCAGTCCTTTTATGGCTAGTGAGAAATAATTACCCAAAATCTATCGCATAGCACAGATTTACAAATAAAGAGATAAAAGCAGAAAGAACAAAATATTTTTGCTGTCCTGTTGCTGAATCTCATACAGAAAATAATACCTTGCTGACTCATTTCTATTTATAGTAAGTGGTACTGCCCCCAAATTGTCCTCACACGTGAATAAGAATGGAAAAGCTGAAGTGTGGTATATGCGTGCGTTTGTGTGTAGGTTCTCAGTACCATATCCACTAAGCTACATCTCCAGCCCATGATTACTCTTACATAAGGCAAGTGGCAGAGTACCTTTTGTTCTACATTAAGGTCAAACTCCAGTGTGTAGAAGCACCACATAAGTAGCTTGATAAAAGCAGAGATGCCCAGGTTGGACTACCTTAATTCAGATCAGTGAGTGTGCTGAATTAGTGTTTCCTATGAACATTCAAGGACTCATTCTCAAACTTTCCTAAACGAACCTACTGTAAGTGTGGTACCAACACAACTAGGCAATAAGTGGGTACTCATCTCGACTATTTGGAGCACTGTGTACTTCAAGTGAACATAAAAAAACATAAGAGCCCCAAGGCTGTAACATCAAATACATTTAAGAAACACTTTTCTAACACAATTCCTATCATAATCATTTTCCAAATCATAATCACGTAGACAAAATAGTCAATTCTCTTTATGAGAACTATAAGCTCAAAACTTTCTGATCAATCTTCTAAGAAAACTTTAATTTCCAATGAATAAATACAGCAGAAGATAGCATAATCAAAAAATGTTTGCAAGTATAATGAAAAAGTATACAGGCTTAATTCAATCACTGTGAACCTTTGATCTAGAGGCCAGTGGCTCATTCTGAAGCCTCTATTACATAAAAAAGCCCACAGTAGCCTTATGAAGACAGGTGACCATTTCTCTCCCATTCCAGCCATTATGAACCAGGCATAAAATGGATGACACATGGCCACCTTTATGTCCCTGCCAGTTAACTGACTGCAATCAACTTACGTGAGTGACTCCAAGGAAAACTGCCCAACTGTACTGAGTCAACACTTAATTATATGGGGTAGATTTCTACAAAATGACTTATGAGCAAAACAGCTGCCTGAGCATTCATTTTACCTTGTTTTCTAACATTATGTTACTGAAACCTACCTGTTATATTCACTGTCCCCAATGCCTCACTCAACACTATTGTTTAAGTAAAATCTAATGGGAATGCCACCAAAGAGGTGGCATTTCCAATTCACATATAAGGAGAGGCAGGTAGTGTTTGAGCTCCAAATCTATGTACCTTTAGTAGTTCCAATGCAAACGTGTCCCTTTCCCTTCTTCCTAGAGACACCCGGGGACAACAGCACTTTTAAGGTAATTTCCCCTCTTCTCTCCCCGGTCTTTCATACTCATTTGTCATGACTTATGTATCAGCCTGCATTAATGTATAGTAGACATCCCTCCTTGAGTGTTTTATCATTTATGTACATGTCAATATGCAAAAAATTTCTAAATATCTATAGCAAAACAATCTTAAATAAAGGCATACTAGAAGAAACAGAATAAACTTTAAACACCATTATCTTTGTCCTTGGTCACCCACTTTAAAACCTGAGCTTTTCCTTTCAGCTATCATCTCCTCTCCTCTCCCCTATTTTTCCCCATTGTGCATTTAAAACTATACATTTTCCAACACATTTATATTAGATGAAAGACTTTCCCGAAAGTAACAGTTATATTCTGTTTTCATTTACTTCTGCACGTTTATGCTTAGAAAGCTATGGTATTTCACATACACTCAACTATGGCTTGCTAAAAGAATGAACCAGTCAAAAGCCAGGATACAGAAAGTGAAGATCTCTTATTCAAACTATGATTTCATAGCCTTAAAAATGTTTTTATATCAGCACACAGAATCCTTTAAGTCTATTCAGTAAAAAAAAAAAAAATGCTCCTTAAATCCACGTTTAGTTCTAGGTCAAGACTTAGTTTAAGTTGATTTCTTTTCATTGCTAATAATTTTCCCTCTAAGAGCGTATAACACAGGACTTGAGTCACATCAGAAATTCAGTAACAGGAATTGCAGGAACAAGGAAGTGTGGCTGTATTGTGAACTCTGCCTGGAAGCAGTCTTGTCAAAGAACTCAGCTCTCTTTTCCTTCCTACTGGATGTACGTCAATCCACATTACTTAACGCTTTTGATTTTCATTTTTTTATTGCCTTATTATATCCCACACGACTGACTGCACTGGTTCAGGCAAGGGCCATGTCACCTAGACGTCTACTGGTCTCATGAGTCCTTCAGGAAATTCTGTATTGTCAGTCTCTGAATATATCGCACTTTACCCTATAGGGCAAACCATCAACTCAGATGACAGGCTCCTGGGGAGCCATACTCCTTGCTAGCTGTAAAAACGAGGGTAATGTAGTCAGAGATCACTATTACCCCACCCAAACCCCAAACTCAAATACGAGGCTGATAAAAATTTAAAGGTAATACTCAAATTGCTTCTCCAGAGCATGTAGGCAATTTACCGGAGAATAGAGCAGTCATTTTTCCTTCCTGCATACCAATCCTCCTGACTCATCCTTCTCCTCACATCTCTAGCTTTAAGGAAACACCAATGCATTTAGAACTGACGGAAATCCAAGGCTGACATTTAGAGCCTCCACTTTATCTCTCTCCCATTCTTCAATGCCCTACTCATATTTCACCTCCTCTACCCCAACTCTCAAGTTCCTCTCTTCTGAATTTCTCTCCTTTCTAGTGGATACTTCACTCCCCAAATGTCATCCATCACCTATGTGAGTGTGCGTGTGCGTGTGCCCCTTTCTCTCTGCCAGCCGGAGACGAGGGCTAATTCCAATTAATATATTTGGCATAGCGCTTTAGGCTTGTTGTCAAGCGGTAAGTGGTGAGTACTGTACTTAACAAAACCGTGGTGAAATCCATTGCCTTGATTAGAACTTGCAGGAAGACAAGTGTATATTAATTACTGTACCGGCCACTAAGGAGAAATGGTAACACATGATTTCAGGCCTTGTTCCAGGCCTATCTAAACTCTTACATACTTTTCAGAAACCCAATTCAAATGTCACCTAAGTCCAAGAGCTCATGCGGCTTCATGGATAAATCATCCACTGCCTGGTCGCCCTTAAGATTGAACCCCCTTGAAGAGACACTTTCAAAAACACACAGACTCCTTTCAATTATTTACTTTTGTGACCTTGGGCAAATCAGTTAATGTTTTGAACGTCAGCTCTTTCTTTTGGGAAACAAAGCCAGAGAAAACCACCTCCCCTAACGGACTACAATAAACATCTTTTAAGTGTTACAAACACTAACCAAATCCAAAGACTTAGTCAGTGTTCAGTAAATCTGATCTCCCTTCCTCGAAAGCGCCGGCACTGTGATTTTTTTTCCTTAGGGGCCAAGGACTACCGAAACTCGCAGGGCCTGGAGAGGGCGGCGGCCACGCAGGGCGACCAGGAACAAAGTAGCTAGAGACTAGTCTTCAGACTCGGAAGAGCATGTCACCCCACCTCCCACCCGGTCTCACCTTGGTGGTCGTAGACACTAATGTAGGAGATCCCCACGGCCATACACCACACCACGAGGCTGGCGATGTCTGAGAAGCTGGGCTCCTGCACTTCCTCGGTGATCACCAGGCCCATGTGCACCGGCAGCTTCTGCAGGGACCGGCCGTCCGCGCGCCAGCGCAGCCGGGGGTGAGTGGCGGCCGGTCCCGGTCCCCCGTGCGGGTGCCGGTGGTGACGCCGGTTCCTGCCGACGGCCGGGGGCTTGCGGAGCGTGAAGCCGAGCGGCGCTAGGACCGCGGCGGAGGCGGCGCGACAGCAGCGCCGCCAGATCCAGTTCCAGATGCCGAAGCGAACGCGGAGCCAGGAGGTGAGCGTGCGGTGCAGACAGAGCAGCGCGTGCAGCACCCGCCACACCAGCTCGTACAGCCCCGTCATACTCCTGTGGCGCTCGGGCACCGTCTCCTCCCTCCGGCCCACACCCGCGGCGCGACGGGGGTCTTATCCGCCCCAGAGGCCGGCGCGGGCCATCGCTCCGCGTCCCCCCACCCCCCGCGCCCGAGCCCCTCGCCACTGCCAACACCTCACCTAGCCCCCGCCGCCATCTTCCTCCGCCCTCGGCAGCCCCGCCTCCGTTAGTACATGGACAGTTCTGATTGGCTGCCGGGGAACTCCGATGCGACTGGGAGTCGTGGCCGGAGCCGCCGCGGCACGGCTAAAGAGAGCGTACGCTTGAGAATGAGGCTGGCTCGCGGCAGCCGGCGCCCCCTGGGGGTAAGGAGGGTGACGCGCCAACGCCTCTAGCCTTCCTCCGGTGGAAGGATTGGGCTGTTCCTCAGACTGAGAGGAGGGTCTGCATCTTGGGATGTGTTGCCCATCTCCTCTCACAGCCATGACAGAAACGATTCCCAAGGAGATAAAAGTAATCTAAACGAACTGGAAGTTACAAAGAGAGAATCCACCGCATCAGCAAGTGCAGATGCTGGAAATCAACCAGGGTCCCCAAATAGATGTCCCTAAAGGCTCCAGTGTTCTTGGAGAGGTCTCATCACAGTTCTTTGTCCATTCTTCCAACGAGAATAAAACTTCCCAGAGTGGGAATGAGATCCTATAACATAGGACCTGGAAACCGACTACCATGACACTGTTAGGGTCAGAATCAGGTCCTAGTATCCCTAACAAATCAAGCTCTGCCACTGTCCTTAATAGAACAATGAAAGAATAGACAGTGAATGCAGAAAAGGGAAACTGATTCAATGTGGCCACACTGAGAAGAAATTCAGTGCCCAGATACACGTGCATGCCCATGGTGTCCATCTCAGGGTCCTAAAATGAAGTTTAAGTACACATAGAAAACAAGACGTATGTATAGCTAAGAAATCCTAGTCAAGGTGGTATAACACTCTCTCAGCCCCAGTCTCTTCTACAAAAGGATTCTAGCAAGTTGTATGAAGTCATTTTCCCAGAGACAAATCTCCCTTTTACATCAAGTTCCAGCCTTTTACTTGTCTCAACATGTGATCCTTGTGGAAAATCCAATTTCTTGGGTTCTATTTTGTTTCCATAATCTAACAGCCAAGGTCAGGGCAGGAATCAGAAGTGTCTCGGAATATCTTCATTCTTGCCAGAATAGGTACAGAGTCCTTACTGACTACCCACTGCTTCTATGTAAAATGTGATCCACCACCTGATGACCCAGTCACTTCATTCATTCAACAAATTCTGACCTCCAGTTATGAGTTAGGTTTGCCGTGGATAGGAAAACAGGCATAATGCTTAGTCATCTCTGCCATCTGATGTAAAGTGACCTCTAACCTTGTTATTTTACAGCCCCAAGTTCTAGTCAATCTTCACTTACCTAATCCTCTAGGCCACTCTGAACTTACCCTGCAGCAGTTCTGGGTAGTTATTGCATCTTTTGCGTAGACTCTTCCTTCTGAATTCCTGTTTCCCAGTTTGGTATTGCTCAACTCCCAATCCATTTCTCAAGGCTTACCTTGTGTACCTATAGCATATGTGTGTATTATATTTTCATACAAATATATAAGCATGTATAGTTGAATCTGTGTGATACAGCCAGATTTTTATCTGTAGAGCCCCTTTTCCCGCTGGGGAATGTCTACGGGCCTTAATGTTTTGACCATTGTCTCCTTTTTCAATTGGTCTCATTTCTGTTTGTAAGACTTTCTTTGCTTTAGTTTAAAACTTGAGTCTCATGCTGATCTGCAAGTTTTCCTACCTTTGGCAGGAAATGCCTGTAGAGAAATTTTAATCTCCTCCCCTCTCCTCCGTTCCCCTCCCCTCCCCTTCCCTCCCATTCCCTTCCCTTCTCTTCTTTTCTCTTTCTCTCTGCTCTTAAGTAGCCTCTCTTTCCTGTCTATTTTTCTGTGAGTTGGGCATATCCTATCTCTGATTTATTCTGTCAAATCTTTCTCTGATTCATCACTTTGTCTGCCCTTCAATTAAACATCATTTTCAAACATGGCTGCTTCCTTCTACAAACGAACCTTACCTTCATTGTCAAGGATTAAAGGTATATGCTAAGGGAATGTCTGTATTCCAGCCAGATCAGATCATATCTTTGGCTATAGTTTTTGAAAGGAACCATGTTGCTAGGGCCGAGACACAGCCTACATACATACTTCTCTCCCTCTTTGTCTGCTCGTCACAGCTCTTCTGGGAGTAGATAAAGTAGTAGGAGAGAGGAAAGACCATGAACAGCAAAACACAGTCTTCTGTGCTGGCTGCAGCTTAATGTTCTGCAGCCTGGATAATCTCCTAAGGAAGCTGCTAGACATTCATTGAGACCTGGCTAACTGTTCCGGAGGCACCAAACCTGATCATCCCAGCGGCCACCCTATCATGTTTCTCTGGTGTGCTCAGTTCTCATGCTCCCTGCTCTGGCAAAATTAAAGGCATTGATTTCATGTCCTGTTAACCAATTCTCAGGTTCCCATGCTCCCTACTCTGGCAAGATTAAAGGCATTGATCTCATGTCCTGTTAGCCAATACTCAGGTCTGCTGCAGCCTGTGAGCTGTATCTATGTACTGCTTTGGATTACAAACTCAAGCAAGAGGTTTCTGGTCCCATCTCCATCTGACATAGTCCTCTGATAAGTCTGATATGATGATCCTTCACCTCTAGGCAACCATTTTCCTTCTAAAATAGCTGAAGCAGATAAACAGTGTCCTTATATTAAAGCTGTTCAGCCTCCTAATGGGACAGAGCAGTAGAGGACCACTGTTCTGCTTGTGTGACTCTCAGTAGACTAGGGACAGAATTGTCTTACACAGGACAGTTCTCTGTGTCATTTTGGACTGGCATAGTTCTCCTGCTTCCCTAGAGGTCTCAGGAATAACTGTAGATGTGTTTGGAATGTAACATCTTGAGACACTGAAGTACTGGCCTCAACAACTGGGCCTTTGTTCTAATACTCCCGTGGAAATGTGTTCTTCAGCACTATGCTCTAGCACTAAATGGTCCAGACTATAGAGCCGTGCACAGGCCACCTTCTGTGGTGCCTCATTGGAGATATTTGAAAACAAGATTCCATCCTCTCTGGACAGATTTTTAGGATGGATATATCATGAGACCTAGACTTCTGTTGTCCCCTCCTGCCTACCTATAATAAAAGCACCTTATATAACTAGATGTATGGATACACATTTGCCTCATTAGATTGGGGCAATAGTAAAAGTGCATTCAAGATATAGTGGTACAGAATCACCAAAGCCCTGCAAATCTACATCTGGTAGTGGTCCCCAAACCCTGACCAGTCTCTCCACTCAGAGCATGTCTTTCGTGCTCAACTTCTATTCTGAAATGACAGAAAAGCCACAGTAGATGTGTCATGCTGCGTCTTCTTATTTTGTTATTGCCCCCCCCCAGACAGTAATGTCACCTTTTAAGGGAATTTGGATTTCAGAAAACAAAATCTTGATTTAACCTAATACACCCTAAATTTGACCTGAAACAAACACTAATGTAGAGTTATGCAGCCTCAGATAAAAGTTCCAAATATTACAGATTCAATTTTTTCTTTACTTTTCCATTATAAAATGCATTGTTTAACTTAATTATCACACTGAGCAGATAATCTGTGGATGCCAGATGAAACCATTTTGCTTTGACAAACAAATAACAGTTTGTAGATAATTAAGAAGAGTGAACAAAAGGACTGGAGAGATGAGAGATGGTTTGTTAGTTAAGCACACTGGCTGCTCTTCCAGAGGACTCAGGTTCTATTCCCAGCACCCACATAGCAGCTCACAACCTTCTGTAACTCCAGTCTCAGGGGATCTGAGACCATATTCTGGCCTCTGTGGGTACTGCATTAAGTGTGGTACACAGACATACATGCAGGCAAGCCACCCATATATCATGATGATGATGATGATGATGATGATGATGATGATAAATAAAATGCTGAAAATAATTTTAAAACATTTTAAAGAATAATGGATAAGAAGCCAGGTTCTGACTCAACAAACCTAATTAACCCTGCCTAGCCCCTTACACTTGTTCCTGCAACCTCATCACAGACGAGATAGTGGCCGTGGCCGTTCCTAATGATGTTCATGGCTCCTGGTTCCTCGTAAATGTTGTACCTGTCTTCTTCTTATTGCTGTAAGAACTAAAGCAATGGTGTGCTCAGGATGCTTCCTGTGTCTAGTCTGAGGTGAGTTCTCAGTAATGAGAGAGAGAGAGAGAGAGAGACAGAGAGACAGAGAGGCAGAGAGACAGAGAGAGAGGATGGAGGGAGGACAGGGGAGAGAGAGAATCTCAATCTGTGTAATATCTATTATAGAGAATTGTAACCTTACAGCTGAACTACAAATATTCTTTAACATCGATATTTTTTAACCCCTCACTAAGTGGTAAAACCCTCTCAGTAAAAATAAAGAGGCAGGAGTAGCGAAAGAGTCTTCAGTTCCCTATGTCCACCAACAATATGGCTGACCTGACCCTCAGAGTCCCATCAAAGTTGTGCAAACAAAGCTGCTCAGCAAGTGCAACCCGGCTTTGGTCGACCCCACTATATAAGTCTCATTGCATGGGGCCTCATGCTCAAGCGGTGTGCTTGCGTGGTCATCTTCCGTTCCTTAATTAGCTCTGCCAACTTCCAGCACCTGGAGGACACTGAACATATGATAAATGGCTTCATGCTCTCAGTCCCTGCCGTGGTGATGACCTTTCTGCAGAATCCTCAGCCCATGACGTTCCCATGGTGATGCACCTTGACAGATTGGTTCCTAGACTCCTGTCCACCTCTTGTCTGGCCTAGCTTTGCCTGCCTCCACCTTGCCCTCAGCTGGTGTCCTAAACTTGTCAGGGTGTGGTCTCTGGGCTCCCAGATGAATGGAGGGAAGTTGGCCCTTTCTTTGGGGTCCCGCTTCTGCTTTGACAAAGGGGTAAAACCCACAGACTTCCCTTTATCCTCCGTCCCCTTGGCACTGTTACCGAAAACACTGTTCAT